TGTTCTCAGGCTACATTCCAAAACTGTGTTTGGAGCAAATAACAGGTAAAATGTCCGAAGTGCATGGGGAAACGAGAGTAATTCGTGTTTTGGAATGCGTCGAGTATAATTCAAAATTTATAAAAAAATATTAAATACATTCATCATCAAACTGTTGATATTTATTAATTATTTCATATTAAGGTGCAATATACTTATATCTTTTTAACTAGTAATAAATATTTGCTGTCAGATTGCAATGGCAATTGGTTTTCATTACACAGAATATAATCAGGATATCTTAGTGACATTATATATTAATATTACTTTAATAATATTAATATGATAGTGGGAGGATAATATGTCCAGCATGTAAACGCACGTATCGAAATTTTCTCGATTATCGTACGCGGCGAATCAACCTTCCACACTTAGACCGATCCTTGAGTCCCAAACTTATATATATATTTATGTTCTCAAAACCCCATTAAATCGATGATTCAAATAGATTCCTTTTAATATATATAATAATAATATATATTAATAATAATAATAATAATAATATATATAATAGAATAATAATAATCCTACGTTCCCGCCACTCGATTCCCTGCACTTCACTCTAATAAACTGATGATTCAAATAGACTCCTTTTAATATATATAATAATAATATATATTAATAATAATAATAATAATAATATATATAATAGAATAATAATAATCCTACGTTCCCGCCACTCGATTCCCTGCACTTCACTCTAATAAACTGATGATTCAAATAGACTCCTTTTAATATATATAATAATAATATATATTAATAATAATAATAATAATAATATATAGAATAATAATAATTCTACGTTCCCGCCACTCGATTTCTTGCACTTCACTGTAATAAAACGTAAATGAGAATTTTACTCGGGAAAGGAAACACGAAAGTTTCTCTTGCTGTTTTGAAACGACCAATCGGAAACACTCGTAAGGTTTTAAAACAGCAATCGAGTAAAATTTTTCTCGAGAAGCACGTTTTGGAACGTACCCTAAGACTCCAAGCAAGCGTTCAGCAAAGGTCTACTGAGACTGCGCAAGACTACGCGCGGCTGTTCGTGAAACGCAACCCGTCATACCGACCTGTACGTGTAAATGCAAAGCCCGATACAAATTTATCGCTCGCTGCGCAAGGATACCGCCACGAACGGCAAATCGTAGCGCCAAGTGTCGTACACATTGCATGACAATTCCTCAAACAGAACGGAACAGACGGAACTTTCGCCGATATCTTCAGACGAAGACTTTCCCGCTTGTATGCGGGCAAGACCGAAAAACTGGGGCGCATTAGAAAGAGGCTATCACTTAGCGCAAACACGCTGACACTTGAAGAACAGAAGGGAGAACTCGCTTCTCATCCGACGGATGGCAGTTTTTTATTCTGATTCGACGTTATTCGTAACCTTCTTTCTTACACAAAATGGGCGTTGGTTCTGCTGTTTGCACGTAACAGGATTTTGCAAAATTAATGTTCCGCGAAGCGCGATGAAGCTGCAAGTGTAGTAGCCAGTGTGCGTTGCACAACTTTCTCCATCAGGCTAAAAAGAAGCACCAGAGATTCTGTTTTTTTTCTTTTCTTTTCCTAAACATGCATCATGATTAAAAGTTAAACATTAGCCGGAGAGCTAGCGAAATTGAGAGCTCGTAATTCACGAAAATTGAAGGATACTTTAGCATTACAGCATAATCGAGCCTTTACGCAGAATCGCGGTGCATGTCCATATTAGCTCGGCAAGCCGCAATTCGTGAATTGCGTCAAATCTCTGTGGGATACATCGCGTGTGCCACCAATTGAACGTGCCGAATGTAACGCGCAGCTCATATTTCGCAAATACAGACACAGGCGGGGGTGTACGCTTTTCGCTGTTGCGGAACGCCACTTTCGAGTCTATTTCTCACGAGTTCTCTCTAAAAAGAAACGATGCGAGGTAAGAAATAAAGGCAGGAAAATAAAGAGAAATAGCTGGCGTGGACACTGATACAAACGTTAATATTTGTCACGGTGAAACAACGCGCCTCCGCATTTTCGAGGTACTCGCTGTTTTTATTGACAGTCTCGATTAAGTGAAACCGGTTAAATCCAGACCGAGTATAAAGACTCCGCTGTATCTCGCCGTTCTTCACCGTTCGCGTTCTTATAAAACCTTCTATACTTCATCTCGACGGAAGGATAATTAAGAATACATGCTGCGCAAACGAATTTTCTCGAATCATGGAAATTGTACAACGTGCATTTAAGACGATAAAATTTGGAAATCGGCCGTATCTTCAGAGAGACGGTCGATGTCTTCGCTTTCATACAGCTTAACATTGTTTAATACTAAAACTACAAAGCAGTGAAAATGATGGGTTGGTAATTTCTTATGAAAATTTATAACGATGCATTTTGTAGTTTTGTCAAATATAAAAATTCATTTATAGAAGATGTATACAAATTTGTAACGACGCATTTCATGCTTTTAATTGACAAGGAATGAAACTAAAAAAATAAATAAATAAACCTCTCTTTCCCTCGTATTACGTATCTTTTATTGGTAATTTTAATCGCTTTAATCTGATTGAAATAGATCGTTAATAATTAATTGAAGTTCTAGTTCTAGAGTTAATGTGTGTAGAGTTAATGTGTAACATGTGAAAATTTAAACATCAATTTAGTACTTCAATACAGCACTGTAGAGATCGAAGTTTACATCAGAAACGACGAGGAATCTGAGATACTTCGTTCTTCGATATTTTTGGCTGCGAGCAACATTATAGGTTTCCAGAGGACGCGATTTAACATGGTGGCAAACTATTGCCCGGTTGTTTGTCGATGATCGATCGGTCTGCACTAGAAGTGTCGAAATCACATTTATTTGTAGCCTCGCACAAATTGAGAGCGCACGAGCAAAAAAGCCGATGAGACTGTCTGACTTCCACGACGGTGTGATTCAAGAATGAATGTTTCGTGCAGCGTTTCAGACGCCTCTTGTTCCGTCGAATAAAGCCTTGAAAGACCAATTGTCCGATAAAATGCCGATTGATTTCCTTTATTTTGCATTTGAATCGATACTCTTTCAATAGAGCCGGACATTGTTTTGATTCCGCCGTTTGGATTCCGGATAGCTTTGCTTCTCAAAAGTAGGGATTGATGTGATTAATGGAAGGGCGACTCTCTTGATATTGATTTCAGGCTGTCTCCGATCTCCTGCTTGGCGTGTTCTGCATGCCCTTCACTCTTCTGGGCCAGATCCTCAAGAACTTCATCTTCGGTCTCACAATGTGCAAGCTGATACCGTATTTTCAAGGTAAGGGTCACCCCGTTGCGCTCCGGTGCACAGAGATTGGATGTTATTGGAAGCAAATGTTCAATTTCATCTCACTGCAACGTGTGTTATGACGAAAATCAGAAAAGTTCTCGGGAATTCGAAAATGCAATACGATTAGTTTTTTTTTAGCGCGAGAAAAATAAAGTTTTAAATTTTTTATTAAAAATATGTTTATTATTCGTTTTTGCTTGTGAGTTTACTAAAACGGTAGAAGCACATTTAGCTAATTTCCTAAAACAATACTTCAGTACTTATAACTTTGAAAATTTCATAACTTAATAAAAGGATTGCAAACATTTTCATATTGAAACCATGTTACATCTAATCAGATTATTATCAAAGAACTTAAATTATAAAAATAATGTGTTTATGGCGCGATTTACATAATTATTGTAATTCTTTTAGGAGCTTTCATAAGGGATATTATTTTCATAAGGCGTTTGATATTATTTTTGTAATAATAAAAATATAAGAATTTAAAGAGGACAGAAATGTTTGCTGAATTAAAAAAACTATATTTATGTAAAGATGAATGTCAATAAAAATTGACTTGAAGGAACTCTCATCAAAAGTTATATGTTTCTTATTTGATCATTTATTCTAATTATTAATATTTAATATTATATTTGATAGTTACAAAACATAATAGATAAAAAAATAATGTTAATAAATGTTCCTAATTATTTCGAAGAAATAATACTGAAAAAAGAGGAACTGAACCACTGTGCGATGTCTAGAAAGAAAGTCGTAAAAGTCACATTCATCGTTTACTAGTTAAGAAAGATGCTCGCTGTGGAAAATTTATTAAACGGATTACTAAGTTGATGAAGATAATTGTTGAAAGTTACGTCGACGACCTTTCCGTTCCGACGACCAATCCGTTCAGGCGAGAGCTGGAGGTTCCCGTTAAGAAGTAGACCTCATCTAATCGCATCACGTAGAATTATTTATCAAAGACGACCCGATATAGAAAATCCGCCGTGCTGAAACAGCAGTCGCGATACATTTTCCAGTACTTGGCTCTTTTAAGCGCTTGAAAGGGGCGATGCGTTAGAAGCGACTGAGATATTGTAAATAAATGTTGAGAAGGAATTACAAACATTAAGCCGTCGCCTTTTTCTTTACCGAAATTCCCAAACGGATTTGCTGAGCGAACAAGATCCAATTTCTTCGCGTCGGTTTATTCCCAGTTTAATTTTTTGCGCCGGTTTAACTTCTATGAACTGAAAATAAACTCTCATTAACTCCACATTTCCCCAATCTCCAGTAGCATTTAAAAGCAAAGTTGAATTAACCCGGGTACCACTTTCAAACAATAATGTTAACCCTAGAACACCGCACTTCTTTCTTAATTTCACTTTGCATAGTGCACCCAACCACTTTCAACTATCAATATTTTTTCAAAAAGTGGATACTTTCTGACATATTTCTTTTTTTAATTTCAACATCAAGATGTCAAAAATACGTCTATATAACAACTTTAATTTTTCTTCCAAATCCTATGCACGGAAATCACCACGTGATCGAATGTTAGGAAGTAGTTAACCGCGCTTTAAAGTTCAACAGAACTTCTCGAGGAAGTAAGCCCGCATCGGAAACGATGTTCGCTCGAGGAATATTTCTACGGTTTTGTGACGATAGATAAAGAGCCGCGCGCTGAGAAAATACATTGTGCGCTTCGGTATACTTCTCCACGAGAGAAGCTGAAGAAACTTAAGGGATACTCAATTAGAGCTTTTGAGGTACAATAGATTACCACATATATTAGTCGATGCGAAAAGACCCCATAAAAAACAAGAACAAGGAAGCTACATGAGAGAAGCTCTTTTAATACATTCCACACGCTTTGAAACTAGTTCCGAGCTAAAAGTGAGTGAGCAACGGCTGCGTTCTTTCTCTTATACATGATTAAATGTGATATTTATTACGAGTAAGTGCAGCATAGAGATCCTCTAGTAAGTGATGCGCAAACTTCGGTTGTTTGCAAGAATATGGCGGTTTCCATGTGTTACATATGTTGATATGTTTATGAATATATATATATAAGATTAATATATATAGAATATATAAATTGCTGATAATTAAGGTAATATTAATGCAATGTTATAATAAAATATTATTTCACATAAATTGTAAAATATATGTGAGAATTAAAAATATTTTAACATACTCATATTCACATAGGAGATACTTGAAGTAAAATATAATGCTAGGCTGCTGCGTTCCAAATTGTAAAAATTCTGCAGCAAAAGGATTTTCTGTTTTACATATCTATAAATTTATTAAATTCAGTTTACGTAATTTTTCTTCAATTTTAATTAATTTATCTTTACCGCGCCTTTACCAATAAAATACGATTATTTCATTGGTTCCGCCATATTCTTGCAAAGTCGGCCAGGACCAATCCCGTCGCACTCAAAGATTGCGCATCTCTTACTAGAGGATCTCTAGTGCAACATCACCAAGTGCGCAATATAGCGGCGGCGTACTACGCGCGCTGATCAGGCTGCCTTTCGTCGAGAGCGTCAGGCGACTCTTTTTGGCGGCCACGTAATTAAGGAAAACAAGTAAGGAAAACAGTAAGGAAAACAAAGTTAATGTTCAGTTTGCTTCAAACATTGCGGGAGAGCTTCATAACTTCATTGCGTGCATAAATATTAATTAAGAATGTAATGACAACGTTATTACGTGCAGTTTCACAGGAGCGAGAACTCAGTCCGAAGCAAAGACGTATTTTCCGTAAGGATGCCTGTGAAAAGAAGTGACTTTCCTTTTATCCTTCGTTCTACCGACAAGAGTGCAATTACACGGCTGTATTGCATTTCTCATTTCGCACAGTCGTGCATTACGTGCGAAGTGTCTTCCTACCAGTGGTACCAGAGTAGATTTCGCGTGAAAATGAACGAAAAAGAAGAGATGAAGGAAATGAGAGGGAAGAAAAGAAACAATGAGAAATACGAAATGAGAGGAAATTCAAGAAAAATGCGTAAACGAGTGACGCTCTTTGTCCTGAATCCAAATGTGTCAAAAATATCGACAAAGTCGTTCTAACAAAACTAGTTTAGATCTAATTAAAATAATGTAAATATACTCTTTGTATGTACGTCACGTGTAAGAAGGAGATATTAGGGCAAAAGTTGGAGAGAGCGCATGAGACTGTTAAGAAGTTAGCTCGTGTTATATACGCTAGTTGGTCGAGGACAATAGAGTTTTATTCGTACACTGAGAGAAATTATCCGAGAAAAAATTAATAAATGGATATTATCGATGAAAATATCGATGAATTTTTCTATCAGATCAGAATATCCGATTAAATTTAAGCGAAAACTCCCGATCATAATGGCATTGCATCAGATAAGCTTATCAAAAAATTATGAACCGATATTTCTTATCGGATGTTTCCTGATTGCAAACAAAAATTCATCGGTATCTTGATCGGAAATATCCGTTTGTTAATTTCTTATCAAATAACTTTCAGTATAGACTTTGACTACAATAGATATTCGGATTAAAAAGTAAATTAAGCTGCGAAAAATAAGTATTGAGTATAGTTCAGACTGTAGCATTGTCGATCACTGAACATCTTTCTGCAGTTAATAAAGTAATATGTATTTTTTTTTTTTTTGGTAATTTCTAATTGATCTCTCTACAAATCTATTAGTCACATCCTTTCAAATGCTCGTATCTTCACTCATATCGACTAATATGTAGTATCGCTATGTGGATTGTGCCGGTTGATTTCATTGTGCGGCGACGGTCGCATCGATCCGGCCGATATGCATGTCATTATGATTGGCATGCAAAATTGGCTGCACAACGTCGTGGATAAACTTTTACATCCCGGTTTGATTCCGAATTAATTCCCCGTGGATAATTCTCACTTTCCTCGGCGACGCGCACATACGCACGTCCCATCAATCACGCGTACCGCCCGGTTTAATTTGTGAAAGTGACCGCAACGGCGAAACAGGAAAAGCGGATTCGTTCTCGCAATTTGCCACCGCCTTTTCCTTCCGTCCGCTTTGATCGAGCTGCGCAAGAAAGGGACAGAGGAGTACCGAGAGTGCAGGTTTAAAGCGTGGCGCTTTGCGCCATGCAATTTTCATGCTTTACATCCATGAGGGTTTCGCCAAAACGCGGGGATTCAATCGCAAAGTGCAATCCGGTGCTGCCCGAAGTGCGGTCCGAATGATCACGCAACGGAACGCGCGCGCTTTACCATTCATTTGCAGTAAAGCACCCTCGTCTATTTAGTTCCCCGCTCCGAAGTCCGTCTCGGGGATTTTTAACCGGACAAATTACACCTCTTTATCTTCCGTCTGTTGCTAAAAAGCTCGGCGATTCGTAAGGGAGGAATGAAGATCACGTAAGATTTTCCAGCGACGCGGAGCCAAAGAGATCCCTACTTTTTCTACGTGAAATTAGGTATTCTGCGCAGTATCTCCGTCATGATGCGCCGGATGCGCATCTTGGATGTTTTGAATTTCATGCTTTTCGATGTTCCCGCAAACATAAATCTCCGTCTGTATCGAATTTCCGGCCGGGAAGCGGAGTAGCTGCTGTGTATACGTGCGCTCTGGCAAGTCGCGACGGTTTTGTGCGTGGCACCCGAGACTCTGTTCCAACAGTAATCGCAGCTGTTACGTGCAATTTTAAGATCCCGCATCGAGAGGAAAGCGAGATTATACCGCGCAAAATAGCACGCTATTAGGAGAACGTTCCTGAAAGCATCCGCGATGTCTGTTATTCCGTATACGAGGCGAATATTGTGACAACGTTTCTGAATAGCGACGCGACACGATGCGCTGCAGTTGGCGAATATTGTGAATTACGGCCATAAATCTCTGTGTAATATCCCCCAACCAAGCCGCCGGATGTTTACAAATATTTTGCCCTCAGATGCGCCTTCGTGTGCGCGTGATTTAAATCTTCTTTCTTTTCTTCACCATTCCGTAGACTACGCTTACTCACTTTTACAC